TTGTATCTTTACATTGGCGTAAAAATAAAATTGTGATACTATATGTTCTTGTTTTTTTAGCCAAATATATATAAGATTTTGCTTTACCTCTTACTTTTATGTGTCGTGTAAATTTGATATATTCATTCTCTTTGAGCTTTATTTTATTTTATTTTTATTTTCTTTTGTTTTAAAAGAGCTTATTAGTTGATTCGTGTTATCTTATTTCGCTCAATGAATAAGTAAATCTTAGTGACATGGAGTTGGTAGTTAACTTAACAAACAATGTTCCAACTTATCGAATGGTCAAGCACAATGTGTAATAATCTATAATATCACAGGATTTCACTTTTATTTACTCTTATTTTATTTTTGTTGCATTGAAACCTTTGGTGGCATATAGTTCACATTTTATTAGCAATATTATAGTAGTTTGTTAGCATTTTTTTTTCCTTTCTATTTCCTAAATATATATGTTTTAGTGTTTACTTCAAGAATGTTATCTTCCTTTCTGTCTTAGTTATAATAATGCTATAACCTAGTCATCATGTCGACTGATTATTTTCCTTCGAAAGTTAAGTAGTTGGATGCGTAAAAATATGTTTTCATCCTTTATATTCTATTTACTTTCGATTAAGTAGTTTTACCACTAGAATGAGTTTGGGATGATTATCGCTTTAATATAGATTATTAGGTATATATTTTTAGAGAAGGAATGAATTCTATTTAGGATTTCATTGGGAAAAAAAACAGGAAGTGAAAAGATAAGAGAAGCAGAAAAAGAAAAAGAAAAATAGAGAGAAGAAAGAAAAAAAAAAACGTGAAAAATAATGCATGGAAAAAAGGGTGAAAATAATTTATTAATAATAAAAAAAAGAAATTAACAAAAAAAAACAAAAACGAAATATATAAAAATAAATAAAAAAAGAAGAGGAGGCAGAAGTTTTAAGTATATGAAAAATAATAATAATAAAATAAAAGATAGAAGTTGGAGAAAAGAAGAAGGAAAACGTAATATTAAAAGAAAAAAAAAGAAGTAAAGTTAAAAAAGAAAAAAAAAAAACGTGAAAATTAATTATAAAAAAAAAAAAAAAACAAATAATAATAAAAATTTAAGAAGAGATAGAAACAAAAATACAATATGTAAAAAATAATTAAAAGTGCAGCATGAAAAAAAATTATTAAAATTTTCTTTTCTAAACCTAATCCTAAATCCCATAGAATTTTACCTCCTATTATAATTCAACTGTCTACTCCCACTAAAATGATAATACTAAAATTCTCCGGACTCTAAAAAATGTAAACAAGACAGTTACAATAAATCAAAGAAGGTGGGACATAAGTAAATATATAGCTAATAAGTATACTATATCCAAAAACTAAGTCAAGCCAAGATATAAGTCAATGAAGCAACTGTGCTAGAAACACGGGACTCGAGGGGTGCCTTACACCTTCCCCTTGGTCAATAGAATTTCTTATCCAGACTTCTAGTTCGCAGACCATTTAAAATTAGAGTCAACTTCCTTTTGATTAGGGGTAAAAATTAGGTGACTTGGAACACCAAAACTCAATTCCAAGTGGCGACTCTGAATCAAAATAATCCCTTTTCAAAATGTCACTTTAATTGGAGAAACTCTATTTTTCAAACACTTCATTTGGGAAAAATAGGGGTGTGACAGGTGTGTTTGGTATGAAGGAAAATGTTTTCCTGTAAAATAAGTTGATTTTTGACTTATTTTCTCATGTTTGGTTGGTGAGTAGAAAATATTTTTT